CATCTTTATCCAGCAAAAAAGCTTCCCTTCATTCTAAATTCTCACAAATATTTAATAGAAATTAAAATAAGGGGTAAGATATTGTAACAACCAATTAGTGTTACTATCAATGTTATTACCAATTAATTTCACCGTTAGATCGATTATGTTGATCCAAAAGTTATATTTATTTCCATCTTTGTATGGTTATGATTCCCCATATTTAATATGAAAGCATTAAATATAGGAAATCATAATCATACAAAGGTGAAAATAAATATAAAGTATTAAATATGGAGAATCATAACCATACAAAGATGAAAATAAATATAACCGTTGGATCAACATAATCGATCTAACAGTGAAATTGATTGGTAGTAACACTAGTTAGTTGTTACAATATCTTTTCCCTTAAAATAATACTAAATAATTACATGATATTGACTCACTCATAATAATTGCAATGCACTTGATTAGCGGTGTAAATAGGCTAGACTAGTTTAGACTTTGGCTTAAATAAGCCAGACTTGTGTAAAAAGTATTGGGTCTGCCTGGCCTGTTAGCCTGTGTAGGCCTCAAATTACAAGTCTAACCTGACTTATATTTAAAAAATAAAAGCCTTGACATAGGCCTGTTAGTCTGTTTAAACCTATTAAACATTCAACAATTAAAAGAATAATTAAAATAATATTATTTTATTAATCAAATTATTAAAATAATAATTTTATTTATTTTATTTAAAATAAATAATATGATATAGGCCGGTTTGTAGGCTTATAGGCCCAACATGTACAAAAAAGTCTATGTCTTATTTCCTAAATAGGTTTTTTTAAAAGGCTAGGCATGTCCTATTTTACTATTTGTAATAGGTCAAATCTAACCTAATATAGGCTAGGTCGTAGGTCCCTGTAGGCCGGTCTAACCCATTTACACCCCTACACTTGATGTTGTGATTTTTATTTGTAATTTATTTTTTTCTTTCCATATTTGTGATGATAAAAAGCAAAAGAATAGTATAATATATTTGTAGGGTTACATTTACAACTTTTTTTTTTTACAACTCTTACAACCTCAACTATGTTCTCCCGGGAGAACATAGTTGAGGTTGTAAGAGTTGTAAGCAAAAAAAGTTGTAAACGTAACCTACGCCTTGTTTTTTAGATTTTAGAACACCAAAAAAGGGCCTATTTGATTTTGTTTAGGATTTTTTTTTAAAACTATTTTGTAAAATAGTTAATAAAATATATTTTTTCTATCTTTTTTTTAAAGTTAAAAGTCAAAATACAATACAAAAACAATTTAAATATACTTTTTAAATTTGATTTTAAAAACTAAAAAACAGTGTCTGTTTTCTGTTGCTTGTTTTCTATTTCTTTTTTTGTTTTTGTTGGGTTTAATGCTTTTTTGTTTATCAAAAAAAAAAAACTAAAAAAACAGTTATAATTTTTAGAACTATTTTTATGAAACAGGGCTTATCAAACATATTGTTTTTTTTGTTCTATAAATCAAAATATTATTTTTGAATGCAGAAATCAAACAAGCTCAAACCTCTCATTCTGAGATTAATAGAAAAGATTCAAAAATAATTCTTACACCGAACAAAATGAAAATTTATTTTGATATGTTGTTAAAAAAGATCACTTTAAAAAAAATGAGAGAATATACTTATAACTTTTTTTTGTCTTACAATCATTTTTATCATCGTTAGATAAAAATCAAATCAACAATTATATAATAATATCAAGTGAGAGTTGTTAATATAATTTTGATCTAACGATATTAAAAATATTTATAAGGAAAAGAGATTTTAAGTATAACTTATTCCATAAAAAATATTATAAAAATAAATTTAACAATTAAAACTCAATTTTTTAAAACATTCTTTTATGACTATTCTTCAAATGTAGTATGTTATAATTCTGAAGCAAGTCCGCAGTTCTAGAGTTGATTAATTTATGATCAACTTGTCTTGAATCTAATACAAACAAACCCATACATAGGTAGTGTTCACTTAATCAATTGAAAAAAAAAATGTTCACTCAAAAGTTAAAAGCAATGTGAATGGGGAACCAAATGTACAAAATATAAATGAATCATGACAATGGGGACAAATGCACACGTAAGTGATATTTGGAAAAAGATTAGGGTTTGGTTATTGGGCTTAAGCTGAAGATCTAATTTTTACAGCAGGTGGACATCATGAGTTAATTATATATGGGTCCCGGGAAAGCTACTTGGCACAAAGACCAACCATGATGTAAAAACTTCACTCTAAAGTTTTCATGTTTTCAAATTTGAATGATTCATATGATATTGGAGGTGCTTTACTTTTCTTTTTCTTTTTTGGCAACATGTTGAAGAATGATACTTTCGTCACGCTCGAGACTCCAATACACATGTTAATTTTTGCGGTTTTTCAGCCAATTGGATTGCTACATCATATTTTAGCATAATTAAGTATAATAATCATGATATGAAAATTTACGATAATGAGTAATAATTACATTCTTAAGAATGTGTTACAACATTATCAACGCAAAAAGTTCATAAATATTAAGATTTAAAAAATTTAATAGACTCAGATATACTCAAATATATTGACTTTTCGGTCTTTTCTTACAAATGATACAAGAATTTTTCACCCTAGGTTATATGGGTTTTATAATTCTCATTTAACATGAGAATTTGAATTTTCCTACACACACTTCGATTTTCGTGCTAACGTGGGTCTTACACATAATTTTTTCTAACATATACGGGTCTCACATACTTTTTGTCTCTACAACATGAGAATTCAATTCTCATGTTGAATGAGAAATATAAAACCTTATATTATATTTGATACTAAAAATATAAGATTTTCAATAATATCTGAAAATTCACCCATCGACCATCCAAATCATATTTACTCCAGGTTTTTTTCTTAAAATTTTTTAATTACTCGGACAGTTATGGCTGGAGGAGCAAATTAACTGACCAAAAAGACTCGTCACGAACATATTTTTATTGTCACGAGAGTAGGTACCTCTTTATTAAGAATAGAAAAAATTAAATATAAAATTCGGATGAAATTAACTATAAAAAAGTAGATAAAATTAGGTGATTTTTTTTTTTTTAATTTCGCTTATGACAACTTTTATCATAATGTATTAATTTGTTTTGATATTCCATATTCTATTCCCCAATCTAAAAGACTTATATCATATTTAAAACAAAAGTAGGAGAATTTGCTTTTTAAGGAGATCCCTCATCTAGAAGCCTTTCGACTCACTCTTTTCTACACGTGCTTAGAAAACCTTTCCTTTTGTAGAATCATTATCTTTATTTTTAGGTTGTATGAATTCCCTTAACTATCATTGTCATTCATGTTATGCTCTACGCATGTGGCTCATATCTACCTAGTATCCTATACCATATTAAAATTAATTATGCATCTAAATGAACTTAATCAACTTCTGTCACATAATGCAGTTCCAAGTCCATAAAATCGGCTAGAACGTGACAAAAATTGTACAAATTTTAGTAAAAAATCAACCTCGTACACAATAAAAGTTGGTCTGAAAACACTCTTTAAGCATAAATTAACTCAATATTCTGTAATAATATGGAAAAATTAGTGAGTTGAATAAACATTTCCACGGGATTAGAGCGCGCAAATTGTTATAAAGGACTTTCTGTTTTAGACGCGTGCGTCTGGGATTATGAATCTGTCTCATTTCTTTTATCAGACAAAGTATCTCTCCCTTTTCTTTTTTTAATATTGATGAACGTTTTTTTATTGAGAAAAAAAAAAACAATGTGTTCGCTTAATTTCCATTTTAAGTAATCAGAATAAAAATAATAACGCCACGTTCTGGAATCTGAAGCATTTTACGTCCTATTTGAAAAAAAAAATTGCTAAGGCAATGAAATGTGGAGCTTCGGCAAAAAAATTTATTTATTGCAATTTAATTAAATAATTATGCAAATATGATAGTTTGGAGAGTATTTACAGATCTATTGCACACTGTGACGCCCCAATGAGGCATCTCTCATGAAGGAGAAGACGCTCCAATGGGGCGTCACAATGCTATAAATACCCCATTTTTCCCATTTCACTCCTCACTCATTCACCTCTCTCTAACCACGGTTCGTAGCGAAGCTCTGCCGACTTAGGTAAGGTCGTAATACCTCCTATGTATACTTTTAAATTACAGTACTAGTAGTAATACATGTTAGGATTAATCGTATATTAGAGACTTAGAACATTAGGATAGTCACTTAAAAATTTTGTGTCATGCTATGAATGTTGTAATGATACTCCCTTTTTTTTGTTACATAGTTATTATTATTAATATTTAATTATTCATTAGGGTTTAGCGTATTAATTAGTGATTTAGAAAATAGTGATAGCGAGATCGTAAATTTTGTATGTATGATGTTATTAATGCGGGAGTTTATTCATAATTTTGTAGTCAGTTAGGTGTGATGATTAGTACATATTTATGAAGTTATTAGTGACCTAGGGTTAAGTATTCTGTAAGTATTACATTATTTTTGTCCAATGTTTTTTTATTATTTAATTACAAATAAATGATTGTACTACGTATTAACATTATTTCATTAATTTCAATTCTAGTAAAATAAATGACGCATATGCTTAAATTTTTTGATAATAAATTATGGCATTGCTTAATTAATTTGTAAATAAAATGGGACATTACATGTGATTAATTTAAATGTTGTTTTATATGATATAGTTGAAGGTAATGGCTGATTCATCATCTTCATCGGGTTCTGCATCAGATGTAGAGCCTACCGATCCCAGCATGTACATCATACCTGGGCCGTACAGATGGGACGTCCTTCGTCAGAGGACGCAGCGTGCTCATATTTCACAGCGAGCGTGGAATACGGAGCATGTCAGGAAAATAAAGACCAGACGTGGGAAGCCAACAGGGGGCCACCTACCAGCACTATCCTAGAGGTTGTCGCAGACTACCTGACACAGGCAGGATTTATACATGTTGCCCGGATGCGACATGCGACATATCCAGGTATGCAATTTAACTTGTTTTGTATTTATGTAATTATTTAATATCATTCGTTAACACGGTATAATTGCATAATTTATCACAGATCGATGCCCCTTTAATTAGTGCTCTGGTTGAGAGGTGGAGACCAGAGACACATACTTTCCACATGACCCAAGGTGAGATGACTATCACCTTGCAAGATGTGGCAGGCATATTGGGCTTGCCTACTGACGGGCTGTCGTAACCGGCTCTACCTCTGAGGATTGGCCCGCTGCTTGTGGGGTTGTAATTGGCGCAGTTCCACACCCAAATGAGTTCCATCATTCAGGTGACTTGCGTATCTCATACTTAGATCGGTTATATACCCAGTGGACCGATCATACTGGGGATCATGATGTCGAGATCTACTTCACAAAGGCGCACATTGCCAGGATGCTGGGTTCTTGGTTGCTGGCGGACAAGTCTGGAGGCAGCAATTTCGGTTATCGGCTAGTCCCGTTGCTTGGGGGAGGATTTGATGAGATTGACCGCTTCAGCTAGGGATCTGCGGTTCTGTCACACCTATTCAGGAATTTGTGTGAATTGACAGATGTCGGTCGATCTGACATAGGTGGTTGCCATATTCTCCTTCAGATCTGGGCATGGATACGATTCCCACCCATTGCTCTGCCGCCTCCTCCTCATCCAGAGCCGGGCACGCATTATGGATGCTGGTATGCTTTGTTAAACATAGAAAATAACGCTAATGATTTATCATATATACTATCTGTATACTTCTTGATTATGATTGCTGATGTATGTTTCTGATGACAGGTTCAATACAGTAGCAAAGTTTAAACCTAATGAGGTCACTCATTATCGGGCAACCTTGGATACACTTTGTAGAGATGAGGTATGGTAGTCCATACTTAGTATGTTGTTATTTCACATTGCATGAATATTAATTTGTAACTCCTTATATTCAAATTTCATTTTGTGTGTAGGTGGTGTGGCAACCATATATCGATTACCAGTGGCTGGACGTGACTGCACACGAGCAGTACCTTTGGCTTGCCGTCAGTCCCCTTATTTACTTTCACACCGTAGAGGCATGTCAACCGGATATGTGCATGCGGCAGTTTGGACTGGATCAACCCATCCCGGAAGTGAGCAGAAAGTTGAGAGGGATACATGATCATACTCTACGGGGGAAGGTTGAAGAGAACTGGAGGCGTAAGCTTAGTCCTTGGATAGCAAGATGGCAGGCCAGGGAGCATCATATTGTTGTGCCCCCTCCATTACCAGGGTTGATGTCACCTAATCATGCGTACATGGAGTGGTACAGAGCGAGGGGAAAGAGATACATCTCTTGGAGGGCAACAAAGTTGGGACGAATGGTGAGTTTGTAACATTTGTGCAAACATACATATTTTACATTTTATAATGACATTGCTAACACATTTTGTTATACAGATTGACGGGCTAGAAATGTTGTATCATGCAACAACTACAGAGAAGTTTTCACGAGTCGGTTTAGAGTATATCCATGAGGAGATTGGCAGGCTTATTGGAATATTTCGGGAGAATTCACGAGTTGATGAGCCTGGACCTGAGGCACCACTAGCCCAGACACATCAGGATCTGCAGTTATCCCAGGATGTTCCCCGAAAGCGAGTTGAGGGACGCGGATTAGGACGTACCCTCGACCAAGTTACTTGTCAGGAAGACATCGTCTATGTACGTGAACGAACTCTGCCTAACACTTAAAGCAGCAGCAGCGGTGTGACTACACAGATACTTAAAGGCCTTAAACTTTCCACACTGACAGAATCTCTGTGGGAGATTGACAGAATATGAACGCTCCCAACCAGCATCAACCTCGAAGACGGTATGTTCCACATTGTATGCACGAACGTGGTGGCCTGTTGCATCTACCTGGTTTTTCTTGACCAATTCAACAACATTTTTGCAGTGACGATGACCTGATTCAAGTTGTACAACAACATTTGTTCCTCTCTCAACAAAATATTGAACCAATATGCTATATGTATGCTTAACCAATGGAGTTATAGGCATATTTCTGGCCCCCTTCAAAACCCTGTTCACAGATTGTGCCAAATTTGTTGTCATATGACCGTACCTCCGTCCTTCAATATCGTAGGCTCGCGACCACTTTTCCTTAAGGATGGCATCAATCCACTCAGCAATTTGAGGACTACTTTCACGAAAGCTAGCAAGATTCCTTTCAAAATCAACCATGGCTCAAGTATAACCTGCACATAATGGACATCATCGAATTAAACATAAGTTGAGAAACATAATGGAAATAAATAAATACGCATCTAATCAATGAGTATACCTAAATTCTTTAACATCCGCTTCAAACCTTCATTCCGAAACTTTTGATTGAAGTTGCTTGCAATATGACGAATACAAAAGACGTGATATGCATTTGGTGGCTGCCAATTAGGATTTTTCTCCACAGCAGATATTATACTACGATGCCGATCAGAGATCAAACATATGTTTGACATGTCAGTAACATGAGCATGAATATTAACAAGAAAAAAGTCCCATGCATCCAAGGTCTCGCCTTCAACGATGGCAAAAGCAATCGGTAAACATTCATCATTACCATCTTGGGCTGTGGCCACCAACAATTTGCCTTTGTACTTCCCATATAAATGTATTCCATCAATTTGTATGACGGGTTTGGCAAATTTGAACGCCTCACAACACTGTCTAAACGTCCAAAATATGCGATGAAACACCTTTTTTCCAGTCACTAAGGTCTGCTCTGCATAAAGGTCATTTGTTTGGATATGATAAAATGAACCTGGAGAAAAGCGAAGCATGTATTCGCACCACCTTGGCAAAAAAGCATACGATTCCTCCCAATCACCGTACATAATTGCCATCGCTTTCTGCTTCGCATACCACGCCTTTCTGTAGGAAACTTTAAAGCCATATTTAGAGGTTATCCTTTCTTGCACCAAAGAGATTGACACAGATGGTTCTTCCTTTATCATCCCTGTATTGAAGAGTTCCCAGACTCGATAACATCGAAAAAATTGTTTCTTTACACAGCTTTCCACC